TCCTTACCCCACTGTACATCTTTGCCTCCTTTGTCATAGTACTGAGCACTTTAAATGAGGCAAGTCTGAAATGAGATGTGCCATATGTGTAAAATCCACACTGGATCAAATGTAAAAATTCCAATACTTGTTGTACTGGTTACATGTTCAAACAAGGATATTTTACGTAGTTAAAATAATTAGCTATGTTAACATTATTTTTGCCTGTTTCATTTTAAGTGGCTACCAGAAAATTTAAAATTACTTATGTGGCTCTCATCACAGGCTATTAAATACCTGTCTTCACCACCCTTTTTCTGTCTAATGCTTGCTCTTTTTTTCTGCTCATTTTTGAAGCAGCCATAGCTTGGGAAAATTTCTTTTCTCTTTTCTTCTTCTTTTTTAAATATATCCTTATTGATTTCAGAGAGAGGAAGGGAGACAGAGAGAGAAACATCAATGATGAGAGAGTCGTCATTGATCGGCTGCCTCCTGCACACCCCCAACTGGGGATCGAGCCCACAACCCGGGCATGTCCCTGACTGGGAATCGAACCCCGATCTCCTGGATCCTAGGTCGATGCTCAACCGCTGAGCCATGCCTGGCCGGACTCTTTTCTTAAATGAAGTGTCCCTTATCTCAAGAGATGATATTAATAAAGTACTTAGATAGTAAAGAGCTTCAAGGGCCTCTGTGCTTAACAATACTTCCTTTGTAACAGTTTTGACAATGAATAAATGCATTGAATATTAAAAATTTTTAGGGTTTCTTTACCTCTGCAATTACCATCAGAACATTTCATTTTACATCCCATAAGTTTCCATGGAAGCTCGGGTTCTACAGGACTCATTTCCTGAAGTAATGCAAATTGCGTTTCTAGGGATTTGGAAGTGATTTTTGACAGCACTTTAGTTTCTCAGGTTTTCCTTTTCCTTGTGTCTGAGGAGAGACACATTGGAACATTGGAACAGGGCTCTCGATTTTCCTTCATTCCCCACAGTTGACATGCTTCTCCTTTCCCCACGGGGTCTGCAGTCTCCATGGCACGGCAAAGGAGCATGTATTTGTTCCTTCTCTTTGTTCATCTCACGTTCAAGAAGGGAGTAGCGAGCTGCAGGCCCAGGCCAGCAGCCTCCAGCTGGGGGCCCGCCCTAACCCGTCCTCGCCCTGGGCGGCGATGGTGGCGGGGTAGTGGGAAGCATCACAGACTAAGCCTCTTTCCTGGCCGGGCACGCATCGTGGAGAGAAAGGCATCAGCATTCTTTTATTACAATGGCATCAGTGTTTCAAGTCAACACTCGTCCCAACTGTAGGGTCCCAATAGGGTGGAGCATGTTAAGCCCTTTAGAAAATGAAGCGAGGCTGCTCAGATGTCAGTTAGCATGAGTGCAGGTGGAGAAACCACCGGCCAGGAGAGCTCCTTCGAAGTGTTTCAGAAAGGCCCCCAGTCGCTAAAATGGGGGCATGGAGGATGCCTTGTCCTTGGTCACCTCAAAGTGGGCAAAATAGAGCAGTAGTGAAAACTATGACGGGCCTGGGGACAGTTCCCTTCTAAACTGACGCTGCTCTCCACACCGGGCGGCCTCAGGAGATAGGCACGGGGAACATGAAGGCATAAAGGATTCCTTAGTGTCTGGTGGGTGTCAGGCTGTGGGCCAGGTGGGGGGGACACAGGGGCAAGGAAGGCACCGCCCCTGCCTTCCAGGGCTCCCACACTGGTGGGGGACAGAAGAACACAGTGCAGAGCTGCAGTGGCTAAGCACGGAGGCAACATGCAGGCCCCACCGGAGAATCACCTGGGTCGGGGGAGACGGAGGAGAGAGGTCAGGTAGAACTTCCTGCAGGGGATGTTAGAGCTTTGTTTTTCTGTTGTGGTAAAATACACGCAACGCAAAATCTACCATCTTCACTGTTTTTAAGTGTACAATTCAGTAGTGCTAGGTTGTGCAACAGATCTCCAGAGCTCTTTGCATCTGGCAAAACCGAACGCTACATGTACCCTTCAAACAACACTATTCTCCCCTCTCCCCAACCCCCAGCAACCACCGTCCTACTTTCTGTCTCTATAAATTTCAGTTTTAGGGACCTCACATAAATGGAATCATGTATGTGGTTGTGTGTGACTGGCTTATTTCACTAAGCAAAATGTCCTCAAGGTTCATCCATGTTGTCCCATGTGTCAGAATTTCCTTCCCTTTTAAGTCTAGTATGTATGTACCACATTTTCTCTATTCATCCACGAATGGACATTCGCATTGTTTTTATCTTTTGACTATTATGAATAATGGTTCCACGAACATGATGTATAATCTCTTCAAGACCCTACTTTCAATTCTCTTGGTATATACCCTGCTATGAACTGAACTGCATCCCCCTGCAAAACTCATATATTGAAGCCCCAACCTCCCAATATGACTGTATTGAAAAAGAAAAAATTTTTAATCCTCACCTGAGAATGTTTTTATTGATTCTTTAGAGGGACAGGAAGGGGAAGAGAGAGACATTGATGTGAGAGAGAACCATTGACTGGTTGCCTCCCACATGCTCTGACTGGGGCTTGAACCTGCAACCCAGGTAAGTGGCCTGACAGGGAATTGAGCCCACAGCCTTTTTGGTACGCGGGACAATGATCCAACCAACTGTGCCACCTGGCCAGGGCTGTGACTGTATTTTGAGATAGGGTCTTTAGGAAGTAATTAAGGGTAAATGAGGTCATAAAGGTGGGGTCCTAATTCCACAGTGGATGAGCTTCAAGAAGTGGGCAGGAGGTGGGGCCTTGTGTGGCCTCAACCGCAAGTTTGTTCTTTATCCTGAAGATCATGAAGAGCCCTGAGAGATCTAAAATGGTGGGGTGGGGTGGCAGGGAGGGTTGGCAAGTCAGATTTGCATTCTAAAAGATCCACTGACCAGCAATGCAGGAAATGGGTTAGCCATGGTGAGACTTTTAGAGGAATTCAGGAAGGAGGAGACCAGAGCCTGAGGATAGCACTGGGAATGGAGAGAGGCCTCAGAAAGATGTGGAGGTGGTTATGCTACAGGCTTGGAGACAGAAAGGTTGGGATTTAGGACAACTTCCATGGCAGGCAGACCCTAAGGTGGCTCCCATGATTCCCCTGATGTTCATGCCCCATAAAATCTCTCCCCCAACCCCAAGTGTGGGCGGGACCTGTGACGTGCTTCTAGGCAACAGAATATGGCACAGGTGAAGGGATTTCACAGATGCAATTAAGTTCCCAAAGCAGTTGATTTGAGTTAACCAAAAGGGAGAGTATCTTGAGTGGCCTGACTTAATCAGGTAAAAACCCTTAAAAGAGGGACGAGGCCCTACTTGAGGTGAGAGACAATCCTTATGGGCTTGATGACATTAGCAGTCATGTTAGAGAAACCCACGTGGCAAGGAACTATGGGTGGCCTCCAGCCAACATTCGATAAAAAGTCGTCAATCAGAAGGAAATGAATTCTGCCAACAACCTGAGGGAGTTTGGGAGCAGCACCTTCCCCAGTCAGGCCTCTGATGAGAATGTATCCCATCCACACCTTGACTGCAGCCTTGTCGGACCCCAAGCAGAGGGCTCAGCTCAGCCATGTCCCAACTCTTGACCCAGGAAACCAAGAGATAATAAGTGTGCTGCTTTAAGCTGCTAAGGTAGCGGTAATTTGCTATGGGATGATAGAAAACGAATACAACTTCCGAGGTTCCTGGTGTGCCACCAAGAAAACAGCTGCGGAGCAGGAGGAAGCAATGATCATTGCAGCTACCATGTATTGAGTACTCTATGGCAGGCACTATACTAAGATTTCGGATGGCTCCGATTTATTACCCACAGTAGTCAATTGTATTAATTTACCATTGAACAAAGGAGTCACCCCCTTCTTGAGAGAAGCGGGCAGGCAACCATGTTTAGCAGCATATAGTCTGTACTCCTTTCTCTCCGAGCCCAGGCAAACAATCCCCAATCAGAAGCATGTGATTTCTGCTTTAGAAATTCCAGAATCCATGGGCCCTTAATCAAGGCTTTTTTCCTTTCATAAGCACCAGCTGGATTTTAGTAAGCACCATGGAGCCTACTGAATTTCATGTAACCAGCAGAGAGGAATGAGCCTCAAGATACTGTAGGACTCACCTTCTGCTGTCTTCCCTGAAGAGAAGGCGAGGAATATTAAGACACAGTTTTGCCTGGCCGGGCGTGGCTCAGAGGTTGAGCATAGACCTAGGGTCCAGGAGATTGTGGTTTGATTCCCGGTCAGGGCACATGCCCAGGTTGTGGGCTCAATCCCCAGTTGGGGGCATGCAGGAGGCAGCTGATCAATGATGACTCTCTCATCATTGATGTTTCTCTTTCTCTCCCTCTTCCTTCCTCTCTCTCTGAAATCAATAATTATATATATATATATATATTTTTTTTTTCATTCCTGAGGGAAGTTTTATTTAGCTAGACATAATAGTGCAGGACCAAAACATTGTTTCACTTTTATCTATGGACAGCCTTGACTTTAGCCTTTCATCCCTCCTTAAACGAAGCCAGCACGATCAGAATGCAGACCTTAGACAATTGATGTATGTGGAAATACGAAATACACCAGTGGTAACCACCCAAACGCAGAGCTTTCAAGGCGCTCGTGCTAGTTCTAAGGATCATTTCCTAAACCAAGTTAAGTTCCCATCCTTTGATCTTAGTGGAACAGAAGCCATCATTCTTACCAAAGGACACAGCAGAAGAACATGCACATTTTTCTTTAAAAGTTTTGAAGAAATTTAGTCATTAAAAAGAATTTAAATTACATCTAGAAGCACCACTTTACAGAATACCATTAAGTTGTACTTAGGATGCTTTTAAAAAGCCATCTTGTTACAGAGGAGCTGACGGCTTCGGTTTTTGTAGGGACCCTTGTGATACTGTAGAACTCCAACAGATTTTCCTCTTCTGGTGGAGGGGGTGGGGGTGGGGTAGCATTCAAGGCATGAGAAGCTTTTGTAACTTTCAGGCACCCAAATAACAATTACTGATCAAAACGCATGCTTCAAGTGACAAAGTGTTTTTACTGTTAAAAAGAGAACCTAGGACACAAAGCATTTTATTTTAAGCAGGCAATACAAACCAACCACAGATGAACATTTATGATATCCCACAAATAATGCAATATCATCTTTCTTTAAAGGATTCACTTTACTTGTGAAAGATAGAGCCAAAAGGCTAATAACCACTGCTCAGAAGGAGCTAGTTCATCTCAATGCCCTGAGATGAAACCTCAATTACTGACAATTGCACAGTTCAATCAGCAATCCTTTTCATGAGGTTATTCTGGGAAATTATGGAGACCAGGACCTCTAAAACTTCAGTTTTCCTAATCATTGCCAGGCAACATTGAACCTGGAAAGTGGTCACGACTAACTCCATAGTAAAAAGCTAAGAACTGCCGCTACTTATATGTGGAAACCTATTCCTCTGCAGAAATAGTTCCCTCTCTATGAAGAAGCTAAATGAGCCCCTCCCCTCTCCTGCAGAGAACCATCTGCCTTTTAAAATCAAATCACAGTTGCCAACAAACTAGGATTTATCATAACAGTGTGTTCATGCAATGAAGAAATATCTGGGAATGCCTATTACACAACAGTCATCGTTTTAGGAGCTTCAGGTACAGCAGTGGATAAAAACTCCCACCCTCATGAAGCTTCTATTTATCTTGGACTGACAAGAGCAAAATAAACCAAACATGCACACATGTAGAAAAGTGTGCAGCCATCTGCCTCTAAGAGCTGAACTAATTCTCCCAGGAACGAGACCCCAGGGCCCTGCTGTCCCACCTTGGCTCATTCTTGGATAGGAGAGGGTACTCAGTCAACAGGTTGCTTCCACAAATGAAACATGAACATGCAAAGAGACCCACTACACAGCTGGAAGTTTCCAGCTCTCTCACAGTACCACTATAAAGTAGGAGAAAGCATTTTACAAGCATTATGCCACCCTCCTCACATTCCAGTGAGGCTGTATGGGGACAATGATTCGGATCCGGAGTAAGATAATACCTGGTGGCCAGAGAGGGAACAGTGGTCAATGCCAAATGCCTGATCCATCCAGGCTACCTATGCCAACTCTTGTGACTTTTTCGGCTCTAGAAAATGAAGTCAGTTACGCAAAAGGTACACTTCACTCAAAAGTAAACATATAGCTGAGACTCACTGTGGGAAGCAGCAGCTTTCCACAGGGGCAGTGGGGGCCTCCACTCTACTCTGCGGCATGGCCTTCAGCCACTAAAGCACAGCTTAACCTCGGCTGCGTGGACTAGGACCTCTGAAGGTTTCTTTAATGTTTGTGTAGAGCTGAAGAGAAGGTCCATAGCTTTAAAGAAATAATTTTCAAGGGAGTTTGTAAGCTCCAAAAGTTTAAGAACCTCTGCATTGGAGGGCCTCTTTCTGTCCCTTGGTAAAATCATACCTGCAGCTTGTCATTGCATTCAGAATGAAGGGTCCCAGACCCAGCTGCAACAATGTGTGTTACAAGTCTGGTTTAGAGGCCTCCTGGTGATTTACTAGGCACACCTGGGCCAGAGACCAAGTCGAGCACTACTGGGGGGTGATTAATTAGGATCTGTTTGTCTCCTTTCATAGAGCAATGAATGGCTCCTCACTCCTCAAAAGCAGTCCACTAAGCCATTAGCTCACAGTGGACGGGTGGGTTAACTTTCCTAATACCACTTTTTTCCAAACAAAACTGTATTCCTAGACATCCACATCAGCCTCCTGGCACCACAACTGTTGTTCATGGACAACAAGCCCATGGGCTTGTCCTCGCCACCCCCTGCCAGGTAAGGTACGAAAGGGTGGTTGGTGACTGGAGCTCTTTACTGTTCAAAATCACCATCTACATTATGGTTCTGTCCAGGCCTCAGCCTGGGGGACATGTGGCTAAAGAGCCTCTGGGAAAAACTGTAACTAGACTTTAAAAACTGTCAGCAACAGAAACTATGAGAAAGGGAAAAACAATGTGGTGTTTCCCAGGAACACAGAGCACTGGCTGTGAGTTTTCTGGAAGGGCTTTTACTGTGGCAACTCTTCTCAGCACCTGCCTCTGTCTTCGCTGCCTTTTACTAGACTCTGAACTCCTCAAAAATGGGGACCTGTGTTACTCATACCCATGTAGTTGGTGACTAGTGTAATGACTGGGACATCACAGACCCTATCAAAGCTCAGAGAGTGGGGATGGGGACATGAACAGAGGCCAATTATAACTTATGGAAGGATTAGACATGACTGGACTTAGAGAGTTCCTGGTCTCCTAAATAATGTATCCACTTTCACCACTTCAAAATACAAATCAGGGACACTCTATAGAAAGAAAAGCATATCATAGAAAAATATACATTTCAGAAATCTTTTCAAATGATAAAAATGAATGTAGAGTACTGTGATCGAACATCTCAGATACAATGATACAAACAGGTAGCAAAATCGATCATTTAGGTTACTGCCATTTCCACTATAATTTAATGATAATAAATATCACATGATAAGAATAATTTAGGGCATTGATTACATCCTTAATTATTTATCATTAGCTTTCCATCTCAGAAACCATCACAGAAGCACAAATAAAACTTGCTTTTGTGAATATCCTGAAAGACAAAGAGCAGCTTATATAACGTTTGTTCTTCACAAAACAGTCATTAGATCAGGCCAACAACTGTCCCTAAGAGCCACATGTAAACTTTGAGGATCCTGAGGATTACTCACGTTAGCAATGTGTTCACTTTCTAAGATAAAAACAGGAGGTCCATAAATGTCATTTTATAAAAGTCTGTATAAAATGTAAACATAGTTATGATGTATATACATGGTCAGAATTGGTGACAGTTTTTATATATTCTGAGTCAGCTTTAAACATTTATGAAATAATGCTTGGATGTATAATATATACCCATTTGTGACATTTATTCTGTAATTCTCCATCAATGTTAGAATGTTTTTCCCAAATGGCATCAATTCTGATGTTGTATGATTCTAAATTAAAATAAATTTGTAAAAGACGTGCTTAAATATAAATAAAATAAACTGCTAAATTCTTCTGGCTCCAGGCACACCATATGGCAGCTGTTATTCATATGTTCTGATCACAGTAGGCAAAATGTCCCTCACTTTAAGCATTCTGCGCTCGGTTAATTTGTTTAAGTAACATCTTGTTTCAAATGCTTTTGCTAATAGGAGAGCGTGCTGAAGAACACCCCCTGGAAAGGGACTGAATCAGCCTACTCTGTATGTTTAGATTTCCCCACTGGCTCTTTGAGAAGCATCCTTTCCTGTATAGAAGTCACAATTCAATATCCTTTAGACTCTGTCTTCTAAACTAACTTGTCAATCAGAGCAGCGCTTGGGCCTGCGCCCTCCGTAACAGACTACAACAAACAGTGGTTAGCGGATTTCAGTTAGCCAAGGCTCTCCAGGAGCCACGCAGAGAGAGCCAGGGTGTGCAAGACCAAGGCACCGGACTTTCTCCCAATTTAGCACACGGCTCAGAGCAGGTTCGCCTCTGGGTCCAGAGCCAGTGAGTATATTTCTTGTCCAGTAGTCATTAGGGCATGGAGGAGATTCATATTTAATTGTATCCTGACATGCTTACTATTATTTCACAAAACAAAAATGTCCCAAAGTCCTTGCTTTCCAGTCGCTCTGAGTCTCATCCGACCATCTATATAGAAAGGTGTTTCTCTGAGGCACTAAAAGGGCCACGACTCTTGCTTTGATTAGTCTTTCCACTTTGCGTCTGGTGAGAGCTTCCATACCGGCTGTTGTTGACTCACCTCTGCATTGCTTCTCAAAGGAAGCGCACAAATGGTTCTTCCACATGCGGTTGACCATCGTGTTCATTAAGACTCCGTAAGTCGTGTTCCGCACCTACCAAGAACCATTTACTGCGAGCCGGCTGAAACCTCACAGAGGCACTTTAGCCAAAATGAATCCCACATCACAGAAGTCACGGCTCTGAAGTTCATGAAAAAAATCATCAACAAGAAGAATCCAGGAGTCTCTGCCGAGCATTCCTCTCTCCATTATTTGCTTTCGTTTCGCTGTGCGCGTTCAGATCTGTCGAGACGGAAAGCAAATATTAATGACAGGAGTCACACAGCACACGTTAACTTCTCTCACGCTACAGATCTCTCTCCTGCTCTTCGCTTTACCAGATAAGGCCTCTTAGCCAAATCTCATTGCACAGTGAAGGCAGGTCAGGGCAATGATTAAACCAATAAACCTTCATTCCTTTCGGAAAGAGACGGAGAATGAAAGACAAAAGGATCAGAGGTACAGGGAGAAAAGCCGGTAAAACGAGACAAAAAAATAAACAAGAATGGCAGCAAGGAGGAACGCCTGAGCAAGAGGCAGAGTATGAAACAGAGAATGAGGAAAAGGGGGGGAGAGTCTAGAGAAAGCACAGATGCTTCCCTTGGGAAATGTGGGGCAGCCCCAACTCTTTCCCCCTTTCCTAGTACTGAAGGGTTTCATCTAAGACCACACTAGGAAAGGGGTTTAATGCCCAAGGAGGGGCATGGCAAGGACTGTGAACCATTCACAAAAGCCAGCTGCAAAGGCTCTGGGGGCTCCCTCAGCCAACACCCGAAGGGCTCCGCCTACCTTTGAGCTCTGCCGCCTGGGTGCCCTGCTCCTCCCCCAGCACCCCCGAGAGCCTGCGTTTTTTGCCATCGACGACATCCATCTTGATCATGCCGAGGTTCCGCAGGAGGCCCATCGGGTCGATGCCCTGACAGTTGCTTTTAATATTCTCCAGGACCTTAAGACACTTGTATGACTTGAGTTCACTTATATTCTCTTCCAAGAAGAGGTTGTAGAGGCTCAAGTCATTGTACCCTTGAGACTTGAAATGCAGAACATCGAAAGTGGGCAGGATTTCATACACTTTGAGAACATCTGCCTTCTGCCGGAATGGAACAAACAGCGTGTAGACAACCAAGGGAAGCAGCAGAACGTAAACCCCCAAGTTAATGAAACTGAGCAACTGGAAGATGCCAACGGCGATGAGCTTGCACTGAAACTGATCGGGGACGGTGCTGTCATTCCTCAGGATCCCTGATTTGATGCTGCAGACAAACTCATCTGAGAGGGAGGAGAGGCTAACGTAATAGCCCAGGTAGACACACGCTGACACTATAATGCCGAGGGTTAGCAGCCGGCAGCTGATGTACTTGATGATTAAATGACTACAGTTTTTCTTTGTCTTCAGGTACTGTTCCACAATTGGGTACTTGAAGTGGCTTTCAGATATCTCCCACAAACTAAAAAGAAACAAATAAAAAAAATTTAAACCCTTACCAAGACCATCAAATATTAAAGACATAAATACATTCGACAATCTCACACTAAAGCTCTCAAATGTCTTTCTTCCTCTATTTATAACTTCACTTGAGGACAAGAGAAGCAAATCAAGTTTTAAAAAAATAAAGAATGAAAAGCAATAATAAAACATCTCTCTCCTTAATGTTTTAAAAAAGGTCTAGTTAGTTAAATGAGTTACATTTGTAAATTCTTAGAACACCTGGTACCTAGTAAATGTCAATGTCTGTTAAATAAATTTGGTAGTTCTTATTCTGCTTTTTTTAAACTCTAATTTTCTGCTCAAGTGTGCAGAATAAAGTAAAAGAGAATTTTCTGGTCCAACTAGAACACATGTGCTCCCTATTGGCAGGGAGCGGGAGGCAGCCTCTCAGTAGGTATGGGCTCAGGCTGTGGGGCGGACAGACCTGCTTCAGGTTCCATCTCGCGCACTCATTGCTATAGGACAGTGTTTTTATCACCAAAAATAAATGCACTTAGCTGATAATGATGTTCTGAGTGTTAAGTGAGATAATTGACTTGGAGAACTCAGCACAGTGTCTGGGATATATTAAGCATTTTTAAAATGAGAGCTATTAAGATTATTACTATTGTTAAAAACAAGAGCCAGAGGAAGAATGTGAAAAAGGCAACACAGTGCCTATTCACTCCCCACTTCTCTCACACCTCTTTTCTAAGCTCGGTGGCCTTGAAATCCTCTCTGCTTCTCCATTAAAGGGTAGGTCAAAGCAAGCAAGCCACACCTAGTACCGTAGCCTGTTACCTCTTCTAGAACTGCATTTTAGAACATGAGACAGTGATGTTTCACTCAACAAGGAGAGGACTCTTGGTGTGAGGACAGGTGCTGGGGCACCCGGGTGGGGGTGAGATTTAGGGAGAGTGAGCCTTCCTGGCTCCTACAAAGTGTCACCAGGTGGATGATGGCCCCTCATCTACTGGCAATGGGAATCTGAAGCTCAGATGGGCAGACTGAATGTGTGTATTACAAAACCTGACTTGGTACCTGCTGGGGACTAGTTACCTTTGCCCTACGTTCTCATTAGAACCGGGAACTGGGCTGACACCATCTCTCAGGTCGACGTCATGCACACTCTTTGCAGCTTTAATTGCGCGGTTGTAAACTTTGTCAAGTTCTTCTATGATGAACATCAAATCTGAGCAAATATGGGGAGCAGCTGCAAAACGCCAGAACAGGGAGGGCAGGTACAGGAGGATGGCAATCAGCAACAGGATGTAGGGGAAAAACTGAAACACAAGAGAGCAAATCATGGGATTAAAGGCTGAAGTCACCTAACAGTGCTGCTCTGGCTTCCTCATTGTGAGACAACGGTGTGTGCCCATGTGGCTTGTACAAATCGCTCATTACCTAATAACTACTTCTTATGGCTAAATTCACTTGTCCAGGTAAGATTTGATACTGGTAATTATCTTTCTCCTTCCTTTCAATAGACTTTAATTGGAAATAATTGGCCACTACATGGTGTCTCCTAATCACAGAAGGACACAGAAATATAAAAGTATTCCCATGTTCTTTTGAGTAATCCCTCAACAAAATTCCAGTCAAGGAAGAGGTCAATGTTACAGTGGCCTCTGTCTGGCTCTTTTTTAAATTGCTGTGGTTTTAAGGTCTCTAAGGGTCAGAGCTCTGTTCCACTCCCCCCACCCCCCATTGCTGAAATCTGGGAGAATGACAAAGAAACACATAACTTCGCTCAAAACAACTGAGACAATTTTTGTCCCCAGTGATTCAGTGATCACTCCATCAAACAGCTCAAACAAGCAGTTAAAAATCACAGAATGAGAACAAACCTTCCCTAGTGAGACAGACCTGAGCATGGCCCAACACCCCCATTTTGCAGTTGGGAAATCTTAAGTTGGGAGAAGCCAACCACATGGGCTGCAGTGTCAGGAGGAGGAGGGCATCTAGGTGGGGACAGATGTGGAAAACAAATGAGAGGGGGTTCAGAAGTCGGAGAGATGCCCGGCCGGGAGTGGCTCAGCGGTTGAAAGTCGACCCAGGATCCAGGCGATTGGGGTTTGATTCCCGGTCAGGGCACATGCCCGGGTTTCGGGCTCAATCCCCAGTCGGGGGCGTGCAGGAGGCAGCCGATCAATGACTCTCTCATCATTGATGTTTCTCTCTCTATCCCTCTCCTATCCTCTCTCTGAAATCAATAAAGATATATATATATATATTAAAAAAAAGATTTTAAAAAAAAATTCTAAGGCATGTAAAAAAAAAAAAATAAGAAGTCAGAGAGAGTAAAGAGCACCATGTAGCCAGACCTGTCCGGTGGTCAGGAAAGGCTAAGCCTCAAGAGGAGACACAGGAAGTCCATGAACTACAGTCAGCGCAGATATGAATTCCAGCGCAGCTTAGTGGCCTTGGTCAGTGAGGTCACTGAGCCTCTGCCCCTCAGTTTCCACATCTATGAAATGGTCATATAATATAGACATTATAAGGATTAAATTAGATAATTTATGAAAAATGCTTAGCACAGTGCTTGGCATTAATAGGCCCTAAAACATACCAGCTAAAACCAACAAAGGGCTCCCTAACAGGCACGCTACCTTTAGTTCTCACAATGAACCTGATAAGGCCTTTAGTGAATGCCGCGTTCTGCAAGGGGGTAGAGCAAGTCCACAGCAGTTTCCTGTGGACTGCAGAGCACAAAGCTAGTGACAGAGACAGAATATAAAACCTGGCCTCTGACCCCAAAGCCACGCCTATTCCACAATACACTGCAAATTATTTTACTTCTCTGGAAAACTCCCTACCTTTGGATTGCTCTCTCCCCACAGTTCCTTGGAGTTGTAATAGGAAGAGGCCCTGAGCTGACACAAACCTCCGCTCTGCCCACATCCAGGAGCAGGCAGAGAATTCTCGAATGCCCTCAGGCAGCTGGCCCCTCTGCTACCATCTTACATCTCCTTGGTACACCTGTCAGGACTAAGAAACTGCCACTAACACATTACTAGGAACTCAATTCCAGACTTTTACTTGGATTTCTCCAGTGCTGCTGTGACTGTCCTCTTTCTGTTCCCAGAGCCAGTCCAGGGCACCCATTACATTGAGTTGTCACGACGCCCTACTCTTCTTGGTTCTGTGACAGCTCCTGAATCTCTCCTTGTTTTCAGGGGAATAACATTTTTAAATGCATAAAATGCTTCAAACATTTTCAACTGCATGCGATTCTTTATTAACACGTTTAACAGAATCTGACAGATGGTCTAAAGCAGCCCCTCTGAAGTAGTAAGGGGAAAACAGTGCTCCTAGTTATCTGGGGTTTCTGTGGGTGACAAAGTCATAAGTACCACTAATACCACTATGGACTGTGAGCCCCCCCCCACATTTTAATGTTAAATTTTAGTTAGAAGTGCATAAAAAATAAAGCCGGCATGTGTTTTCCCATCCCAGTTACAAACTCCCTGATGCCCCTGCAGACCCCAGGTTAGGGGTTCCTGCCACAGAGGAAAGAGAGACACCGCACAAATGGCCTTAAGCTTTGCCAAGCCCTCCACCAACACAGCTGCTTTGCTTAGAGGTTCTGGCATGGGATGGGCTTTCTCAAAATTATTAACCCAATTTGCAAAGGGCAGCTACACAATAACACCACAGTCAGTGATTAGATGAATTAGGGCTGCATAATTCAGAGTTGGCTGCAGTGAGAAGCAGTGTTCCTTCAACCTTTGCCCGCTCTGAAGGGTGCCCATTAGTATAAAAATGTAACTGTGCAACAGAGAGTTTGTGCTGCTTCCATAACCAAGAGAGCCGGGCATTCCCCTTGGGAATCACAGAGGGAACTATTTCTAACTTGGAGATGTGAAATCTTTTTACAGAACACTTCCGTGTCAAAGCTATTTGAATATTAACATTTTACCTCAAACTGTTCTGAATTGAAAAGTGACTGCTGACATGCTGTGGCAATTTTTCTAACATGCCCACTTAGTGTAATAATTAGTACCAACGAGCAGTTTGGCATGGCCTATTGTAATCAGAAAAATGAATATTTAAAGGTATTATATATTGGGTGTTCGATTTCTCCCAAAATATCCTTGTACCTCGATCACCCCTTAGAAATGTGGTTGAATGCCGCCATTTCTTAGTGTCCTCCAGTTAAACCTCTTTTTCCCCCATCAAAAATAAAAAGGCGACTTTCAATGAATCTGTAACAGGTGGGATTAAAATCAATTAAACTAAAATGCAAATTAGAAAAGCATTAAATTATAGTCTTTATAATCCTTTTTACAGATAAGGAACATGGAAAATCTGCTGAGTTTTATGACAACCTGCTGGATGGGAACGGCTCTGTACCACAACTCCGTGGCCTCCAGATTAGGTCTGAGACGCTCAGCATCCTTCACAGCTGTGACTGCACCGTTTGCACGGTGTCTGCGGAAGCACTGAGCTCTTCCGATGACAGTGAAGCTTCTGAAAGCAACGTGGGACCAAGCAGTTGGCACAATTTTCAGTCTACCTGCCTTAAAAAATTGGATTTTTTCCTGAAAGGGGCTGTAGTTAGAACAATAGAACCTCCAGACAGAAGGAACCACGGAGGGGATCCACTATAACTTCCCTCTGGGTTCAAATCCACTCTGCCTCATCTAAGGCGAAGGGCTGTCCAGTTAGGGCTGAGCAACTCCTCCCTGAAATGTATGTGATCACGTCTTATGGGATTAAATGCAGATGGGTAAATTCATTCAAAAACATCTCCTGGGCACCTGCCAGATGCTAGGCCGTGAGCTGAAAGTGTGGATCCATGGATGAAGTGCACAGAGTCTGCCCTAGGCCAGCTGAGAACACAAGCTAACGATTAATCAATCAAAACATAAGAGTTATGGCCACACAATATGCAGGTACTAAGTACTGAGGGAACAGAAATGCCCTTGGGGAGGTCAAGGAAGGCTCCGTAAAAGGGGGAACACCTGAGCTATGCTTTAAAGTACAGTGAGACAAAACAAACAGACATAAACAAACCCAACACCCCGTAAAAAACATAAAATAAAGCATTTTTATATTATATTAAGACTCAGCTCAAATTTCACCTTCTCTGTGGCCCTTCGGACCTCCTCTTTCCTCTGTGGGAATCTTATCTCCTTGTCTGCTTGGGGAATTCACACCCATCCAGGCACCAAATGAAACGAGCACACAGTGAGCGCAGAGCTGAGGCTGGAAGGTATACTAACTAGGTTGAATGGCATCCTCCCAAACTCATGTTCACCTGGAACCTTAGAATGTGACACTGTTTGGAAACACAGCCCTTGCAGATGTAATCAGTTAAGCTGAGGGCATGTTAAATTAGGGTGGGCCCTAACCCAGTGACGGGTGTCCCTCTAAGAAGGCCACATGGAGACACAGACCCACAGGGGAGAAGCTGTGTGAAGACAGAGGCAGAGACTGGAGTGATGGTGCATCTGTGGGCCACCATGGTTTGCTGGCAACCACCAGAAACCAGGAGATACACATAAGAGATTTTCCCTGAGCCCTTGGGAAGGCACCAACCCTGCTGACACCTTGACTTCTAACTTCTGGCCTCCAGAACTACGAGAAGAAATTCTGTTGTTTAAAGCTACAAAGTTTATAGCAGTCTTTGGGAACTCACATAGAGGGTAAGCAGGGGCTGGATTATGAAGCCCTCGGCTTCTGATCACACGCACAATGGGAAGCTGCTGGCGGACGGCCTGATAAGCACTGACTGCAGAATATTCCAGCAGTGGAGAGGGGAGCGCACCGGAGAGGAGGGGGACCTGGCAGGAGGTTCCCGCGGCAGAGGCGGGGAGCGGGGAAGGCCGACCTGCAAGCTACATACAGGGAGGAACATGCACTTCAGTGCCCACCTGGAAGTGAGGGATGAAAAGGGGAAGTGGTGAGGCTAATTCTGGGTTCTAGCTTATCCAAGGGTTGGTGGTGGTAAGATTAGTTAAAATAAAGAAGCAAGAAGAGGGGGCTGGGTGGAGGGTAGTAGAGGGATTGAGCAAAAAAGAAAAGAAAAAAAGAAAAAGCTCATGGACACAGAAAACAGTGTGGTGATGGCCAGAGGGAAGGGGGAGAGTGCTGGGTAGAGCGGGAAAGGGGGGCAAAATGGGAACATCTGCAATAGGGTCAACAATAAAAATAAAGTTTAAAAAAACATACACAATAAGATCCCACTTCACACCCACGAGGATGGCTATAATAAAAAAAACAGTAACAAGTGTTGACAAGGATGTGAAGAAGTTGGAACCCTCATACATCGCCAATGAAA